GGCACAGGAGGCTGATCACCTACTTGCCTAGTAGATTGAAAAATGATCATGAAACAGATTCAGAAATCAGAGGCCTAGACCTAAAGAGGTTGTAGCGCCACTGATTATTATTTACCTAAAATACTCGGCTTTAATTTGCCAAATTTATTTGGTCCACAACCTTGACATGTATAATAAAAAATTCTCGCTAATAAATATGCCAACTACGTATATTATTATAGAATAAACTGCATATAAGCCCCCGGTTATTCAAATAGTACACGTTCATTCCCTTGGAAAACATGCGAATTAGTTGGCATCAAACGAATTTCACAACGCAAATACATTACCGACATATGATATTTATTACAGACGCAACGAGAATGTAAGAATTCGATTCCTTCACACGTTTAGGGGCATATAACTACGAATGGCAGGTCAACATCTGCATATAAAGAGCCGGCTTTGCAATAATTGATGTGCCGTGATTATATCGATTACGATTCGTATCTTATATGGCGTAGCCTGCCAATTAGATCTCCTACGTCCTATTTCACATCATTAAAGTCATATTTCTGTCTCTATGAAGGCTATGGAATGTGGTATTTATTTGGAGACCGAATCGATAGGAATGCTGTGAACTCCTTAAGCGTGGCATGGAACTTTTTGAATATTTCACGTGGCAGTGTAGGCCTAGTGGCTTCAGCGTGCGTCTCTCATCCCTGAGGTCCTAGGTTCAAGACCCGGCTGTGCACCAATGGACTTTGTTTCTATGTGCGCATTTAACATTCGCTCGAACGGTGAAGGAAAACATTGTGAGGAAACCGGCTTGTCTTATACACACGGCGACGGCGTGTGTCAGGCACAGAAGGCTAATAAATATCACCTATTAGGTTGATAATTGATCATGAAACAGATACAGAAATCTGAGGCCCAGACCTAAAAAGATTGTAGCGCCACTGATGTTTTTTTGTTTGCACAGTTGTGAACTGCAAACACAGTTCTTCATGGGCTTCAGTGGAATTGATGATAGCTATAAAAAAAAGATATATTCTTTATTTGTATTAAGAAATCAAAGTCAAGCAAAACGCGTTAATGGTTTGATTTACCGCATATTTTAGTAATGCAAGCAGTGTTTATGTACAGTTATAGTATTTAATGTTAAAAACATCTTATCTGCCATCATTACAAAATATCACATATTAAAACCGCATTCTATTTTATATAATTTAGATCAGCTAAGTTAAAAGCTGTTTTATGTATGAAGAATTACTTTATGATAATTATGAACATATTTCGACTACTTTTGAGTAATTAATTGCAGTTCCGCTCACCGTAATTAAATGTCTTAATAGGTATTTCAATACTATGAAAAGGAGAAAACTTGGTAGCTTATTACAAATATAAATTCCTTTCTTTCAAAATACTGTGGTACTTAAGAAGAATTATTATTTTTTGTCCATTCTCTTGATTGGCATCAAAAAAATAAGGGGTGTTTTAGTTCACATTTGAGTCTAAATTCATTAAAATTTAAATTCATTAAATGCAGTAATACTTTTCAAAATAAAATAAAGTCTTCTTTCAGCAAAATATCTTATCTACAATATTTCACGTACTTTCCCTTGATGTCCCATAGTCTTAGGACGCCCTGTGTATAGTACATATAAGGAGTATTTCAAATTATAACAATGCCCGTTTGACCACGAATTTCATTTAGGTAGTATAAATTTAAAAGAGCACAGTTGTCCTAGTGGCTTCAGCGTGTGACTCTGATCCCTGAAGTCGTAAGTTCGATCCCCGGCTGTGCACCAATAGAGTTTATGTCTATGTGCGCTCGAACGGTGAATGCATCGGAATTAAATATTAGCATCACAAAGCTATATTTCAAATGCTTACCGATTTGGAATGACAAATCGTTGACACAGTTAACTGTTATATTGGAAACAACATCAACGGAATAATTTAATAGTTTTGATCAAGATAATAATACAATGCCCCATCAAACCTTTGTCATTGCCAAGTATTTATAATGCATCTGAGAAGCCTAGATTAAATGTCACAAATGTCATGTTTATTAATTATTCTAATAATAATTCTTGAGGAACAAATTTAAAAGAGCCTTAATTAGCGACTATAAGACGCACTAGATTAGTTAATAAATAAATAAATCATTGGCGCTACAACCTTATTAGGTCTTGACTTCAGATTTATGTATCTGTTTCACGAGCACTTGTAAATCTAATAGGCAAATCAAACCAAGTAGGTGATCTGCCTTATGTGCCTGACACACGCCGTCGACTTTTTGGATCTAAAGCAATCCGATTTCCCCATTCTCCCCATCCTCCGATTTATTGAGCACATAGAAAATCCATTGGTGCACAGCCCGGAATGAACCTACGGCCTTAGGGATGAGAGCCGCACACTGAAGCCACTAGGCCAACACTGCTCTTAATATGTTTTATATAATATGAGGCTCTTAGAAGTAAGTGCTGATTCACAGCTGTTCCGAACCATTTTACACTAAAATCATTGAAATCGATCCACGGACGGAACAGTTATACTTGAACGTATATAGTGTACCTACAAGCCAGGTAGACTTAGCCAATCTGATCTTCGATGAATCACTGAAGCTATTAGAGTCGTCTGTAAATTTTGTAATGATCACATTTACTCATCAGCGCTAAAACAAATACTAAGCTACTTATAAAATAATCAATCAAGAAACGAAAAGTCAAATAAACACACTGATTTATTACGAAATGGCAATCTCAAATCAACTTATTTGATAAATGTAATCTCTGATTTATAAAAACAAAAGCACTGTTTCGTATCGGTCGATCATAAAAGCAATTTGACAGAATATAAGATACAAAAAAGAACAAGAAATAAAAAAACTTTAGAGGTGTCAAGGGACACCCGGATGGAACGAAATTCCTTTCGATTAATTTATATGTTAATTGGTATCATAACAGTATGATAGATTTTCTCGACACCAATCTTACGACGAAAAAAAAAAGCCAACATAACGAGGTGTTCCCAGGCGGTCACCCATCCAAGTACTGACCTCGCCCGACGTTGCTTAACTTCGGTGATCGGACGAGAACCGGTGTACGTTGGCGATAGCTAAATCGAAAATGTAAAATATAACAACTATAGCAAAAAGTGTCGTTACTACTTTTGGTCTTAATTTATTTTTTTAGCCCCCTTTCGCAACGCTCGATAACTTCGTTCGAACAAGACTAATTTAGTTAAGTGATTCCAAAAATAATTTTCATTTCGTATCCCTACAAAAAAAAGCCAACATCACGAGGTGTTCTCAGGCGGTCACCCATCCAAGTACTGACCTCGCCCGACGTTGCTTAACTTCGGTGATCGTGACGAGAACCGGTGTATTACAATAGCAAATAGCAAAAAAGTGTCGTGACAACTTTTCGTAAGAATTTTTTCCCTCTAGCCCCCTTTCACAACGCGCGATAAGGAATTTCGTTCCAATAAGAACCAATACGACTTAGGGACTTAAGCCGGCAACGCACTTCTGGCAATCAATGTGAGAGTCCATGTCCTGCCCGTTTGCCTATAATAATAGGTATATATATATAATATAATGTAAAAGGTTACATAAGAAAAAAACAGAACCATAAGATATCATAGATCGTCGAACAATAGGAGCTAATACGCGTTAATTCAACTTAATAACGTCGCTATATTTATGACTTCTGCATTCATATACAAATGAGTTACGATAAAATGGTAATTAATTCGATCAGAGGCATAGTTTCATCACAAGTTTAATGTATGCAAACAGACGTCCTTCAAAGCCATCTTGAAAGCCTTTATTTGATGCGAAAGTCAGGTATATTGCATAAATTCTTGTCATCTTTAAAATAGTACCTGTCGATTTCAACACATTATGTAGCTATAAAAATTAACTATCGCGATAAAATATATAGCATTTTAGATTACAAGTATATTATTAATATGTATAACATCAGTATAATAAAAAAATCTACTATAAACATTACACTGTGTTTACTAATGTTAATAACGGTTTAGAAAATAAAGTTTCGTTTTGAAATTTTTATATGTATAAATGTATGTTACATTGTTTATGATGTACATATATGTATTTCATTATTAATAACATTTTTTGTTTAAAATTTGTTAAATACGTTTAAAAACCAAAGAAAATCCGTGTAATCTTCTATTTCCGTTACATGATGTCAAATATTCTAACAACAAATGTGTAATTAGCCAATGTTCTAAATTCTACATTTAAATGTCAAACAGTGTAGTGATAATTTCCGGTTTATGTAGCTTTATTTCCTGATTCATTCAGTTAGACCATTATGTTACATTACAACACAAGAGTCGATGATGAGCTTTAACAATTAAGTGAAACAATACAATATTTAGCAAGATACCTTATTTCAATTGATGAAATAATAGTAATACTAGACTGGCTTTTTTACGTCATCTATCGAGGAAAGCCAAATTCAATGTAATTCTTATGATATCTATAACGCTTATATTAGAAATGGGATTTCAATTTCCGTTGAGGTAACGCAGCTATTTATCTATTTTCTTTAAGTCTCTTTAAATATATAAGCCTTTTTATTTGTAGACTAAAATATCGCTCAAGGTTCCTAACATAGAAATATTTCCGATTTATAATATATTTTGTTCCAAAAGTATTAACACAGCTGTTTGTGGTGGGAATAATTTTTATATAATTCTAAATTCTTTGTCTAAATAATTATAAAATAAAGAAACATGCAATAATGCAACTGTCAACCTTTCAACAACTTCGTGACTGGTGGCTGACTAGTTGTAGACAATTATGACAGCGGATAACACTTTTAGTGACAAGCTGTATGATTAAAAATAATGCAATATATAATGAAGAATGTCTATAAATATATTTTTTTGTGTTTAACTCTACCAATAATAATATATTGTTTTCGTTTGTTTCAGGACAGGTCAAGAATTTAATGAAGCGGTAACCTAAGGGAGCAAAATAAAACATGCAGTCGTCTTTAAAATTGCAGGTAATGTGCATATATAAGTAATAAAATGATGTAACATAGTGTTATATGTATATTTATGATATATATATATTTTTTTTGTTATATAAATTTCCCAATATTTCCGACTCTTGTGGTTCGGGACCTAATTTTATACATACATATATATATACAAATATATATGTTAATAAATTTCCTAATATATATATCCATACATACAAATACATATATTACTACATATTTCTATTTTATATTCATGGGCTAGTGGGGGCCCGTCTCACCTCTGCTACGCTCTTGTTGCAGTGAGTGACGCATCTCACTATCTTCCAGTTGCGATCTGAAGTTTCTTAATATTTCGGGTAAATTCTCGGTTACCTTTATATCGATTTGTAGATGTATTTAGAATAAGGTACTTTGGTTAGAATAATGATATCGCTTTTTGTTACACGTCATTGTTTTATCCGATATCCTCACGTTATTACTACAAACGCGGATATTATATAGAAAACGCTAACCACTAAATATAGCATCCTTTTAACGACTACTCCCGCATTTTTCTTCAAATATATTTACCTAGAAGAGTGACGAACCCTGAGATCGTGTGTTTTCACTCATATCTTGCTTGTGTCTGCAATTAACACATTCCTAAAACAAATATTATCACGGATCGACGCCAAGACTATGGGTTTGTTTATAAAAAATATATTTTTAAGCACGTAAATAAAGATATGACATATGAATCTGTCAAACTCAAACTCAAAATAACTTTATTCATATAGGTAAACAAGTACACTTATGAACGTCAGAAAATAAGTCAAATTAATTGTAAATTTACATTTACTACCAGTTCGCAAGTCAAGGGCAAGGGTAGAGCGGGCAAGAAGAACCGACAAGAAACTTTCCGCCACTCTTTTTAATCGCCAAATTTTGAGTCATACAAATTGTATGAACTGGAGCAAATCAATCCCAAGGATTGGGTTCATTTAAATATTTGTCAAATTTGATGATTTAATACCTGTGATGCTAGTGTTCCTTATATACACTATTTAAGAATATATTAAACAAATTAAGAAAACTATGTATTTATTATTATTAATAAACAAAGGTAATTGCAATAAAAGTTATCTCTATTTAGTACATGTGAATTTGAATGCAACGAATCAGCACATCAAATTAATTATGAACAGATAAACCTATTTCCACAGAATAAAATTTGGCAACGCATTATTAGATAACCTAATAGATTCATCAAGATTTAGATAAAATGTTGAATTTAATAACGTCGTTGCAAATCCACAATTCTCCTCGGATGTGCTAACTACTCAAAAACAATGGTGATTGTTGTTCTATCTATATATCTATAAGAATGTATACAGTTGTCTGTACATAGATTTTTTGAATTTAGTATAAAAATTAACAGCTGGCGGTAACATTTCCCTTACATGGGTCATTGCAATGAGCTACATGTGCCCTTTTTAGTTTTATGATTTAATATACTTTAAAGCTAACCTACTAATTTCATATTTAGGACTTATGTTTTTCTGCTTGAAAAAATAAATTATTATTATATTTTTTATATGTGATCAAAGAGTTTCTTTTAATAAATAAAACACATTGCAAATTCTTATTGTTTTGTACCTGACATAAATAATTTAAATATGCATTTAGTAGTAATACAAGTCATAGTGGGTCTTCGGCACTGCTCTTTTACATTGATAATTTCTCTTTAATCAGTGTTTTTAGACAAACACACATCGTCAATATGGCCGCGCCGATTGCCTTTGCGTATACATAGAAATTCACGTGTACTCGGGGTTCAAATGCACCACCTCTGGATCCATATGCTTTTACTTCTAGGATAACAACATTAAATAGTTTACAACCAAAATACCGCGAAGTTTGCGTAACCAGAGAATAAATCATAAATTACAGCAATATTTTATTAAATCTACCGTAAAATAACCTCTTTGAATACGCTTAAATAATAATTGGCAAGATAACTGAGATTTGACCTTTTGTTTTGAATAGATATTTTTCAAGTCGATTGTTTAAAAGCATCATTTAGTTTCTGTCTAGGAAATTTATTTCAACGCGTTGCGAATTAATATTAGAGCAGGTTATCTTGGTAATTTGTGTAGTTTATCTTTTGTGGGTGATCTGGAACTATGACCAATTTGTATTATTCAGGATCGTAATATACCTATATTTGTTAGTTACTAAATTGATAAACAATTGATAGGCATTGACATTTCGTCTCTTAACGTTTTCTATAAAGTGTACTACGATGACTGTTCTGAAAAATTTTTTGGGTTGATTCCTCCTGCCTCGTTTCAACACCGTACGAGCCGTATAAGTTCTAAATTTCACCAACATCACCTTGATGGCTGGAAGTCTTCCACAGTCCGTTTCACAAGGCATTTTCTTTTGCGAACTGCGGAATCGACTCCCGGTGGGGGTCTTCCCTGAGAGATAAGACCTCCAAATGTTCAAAATTTCTGTATACTCCTTCCTCAAAGGCCGGCAACGCACCCACTAAAAATGGGTGTCTATGGGCTGCGATGACTGCCCTTTTTGGGCGTCCCACGGGCTCGTTTGCCCCCTGTAATGTTGTCTTTGTCAACTCTTTTGTAATGTTGTCTTTGCCGTTGGATCGACGATGTTTAATTTATGTCACTTGACATAATATAATATGTAAGATATTTTAATCTTTTCATTATATTATTTTACTTTATAAAACCTAGAATATAGGCTTTAAATGTTGTTTCTTTTGTATTCACAGAGAAACGCAGTCGCGCCTTATTTATTCCCAGTATAAGCGATTGATACTATTATATAAATATAATATATGTGCTTGTTATCGTATTAATTTCAAGACCCTTTCTGACCCCTGAACATTACAAAGTTACATTACAGACATTTACATCTACTAGCGTCACAATCTTTTGTTCTCAGTTCTAAGAGAATTAGAAGAAAGCTTCGGTATTTCTTTTGATTCTAACTATACAACTTTTTTTTTTTTTTTTTTTTACTTGGGGAAATGCATTGCGCATACCCTACCGCGGTGCGACTGCTTAGTGCGGGAGGGTTATGTGGGACTCGCGAATGTGCATACCCACTAAAACCCCAAGGCGCCACCAACAATCGCCTTAGGCGGGATGCGGTAACAGCAGAGCCTTATCCGCTTCCCGACATGCGATGCGGCAGTTGTGTCCGCCTCTCCCCGCCCATTTTTGATTTGTGAAGATACTTGACACAGCAAGCATCCTTCACAGATCGGGCCATACGCTTTTAGGAATAGCTAGGGGAGATCGGGTCCAGTGCTTGCAGGGATGGATCACCATCCCTTCTTTTGAACGCATGGACCCCTGCTTCCCCGCTTGGGCACTCTTTGGGTGGCGAGGATTTGACGGGCCTGCGGTTTCTTTCGCCGCCGCGGACGGGTTCCGGGACAAAGCTCCCTGGTTCTTCCCGCTTCTTCTTTGACTTTCATGACCGACTCGCAGAAATTATAGAAGATTTTCCACGAGCCGTCATTTCCTGCGCTCAATATGGCTTTCACTACGTTTGGCAGTATTGCGTCCTCGCCCTGGAGAGCATCTAACAAAGGTCTCCTTTCCACTTCCCATGCTGGGCAGTCCCTCAGTGTATGCAGGGCGTCGTCCCGGTTGTCTCCGACACAGTGGTGACAGGTTGGTGTCTCCTCACACCCTACTACTTTGTGCAGATAACTACCAAAGCATCCGTGTCCGGACAGCATCTGCGCAAGTCGATAGCTGAGGTGACCCCAGCGCCTCTTTACCCAAAGTTGAAGCAAAGGTCTGAGGGCTTCGGTAGTATATTTACCGGCACTCGCACCCGCCAGCTCGCTTTCCCACTCTACTAACAATTCCTGGTCTTCTAAGGCTCGCCACGCATTTAATTGTTCCAGTGTGGGGTTATCCCCTTTATCCCGAGCTTCGGCCCTTCTCCAATATACTTTGCTAAAAGCAGCCGCATCGAGATGCCATGGCGCGGTACCGGCTATAACACACACTGCGTCATAAGACACAGTGCGGTACGCCCTCGCAACCCTGGCAGCGACCACTCGCTGCGACTGCCTGAGTATTGTGCGATTGTACCCGGTCAGTTTGTCGGCCCATATGGGACACCCGTACATCTAACTATACAACTGTCTTAACAATTATAACCAATAGTTGTCTTTAAAAACATACTAAAGTTAGGCATATGCTAAACATTTACAACTTAACATAATTTATATACCGTAACATTTAATGTCGCTTTTGCGAAATTACCAAGAATATTTTTTCGGAACCAGTATTACGTCTATATTTAGTAGGCCTGGTGCCTACTGCTCATAGGAACCGCAAATTATTAGAATGTGTCATGAAAATAAACAGCGTTTATGTACTGACACTCATCATTTTTTTTACTATTAATTTAAATATTCTTTAATACAGAGATATTATCCCCTAAATATATCAATACTATCTAATATATAAAATTCTCGTGTCACAATGTTCGTTCCCATACTCCTACGAAACGGCTCGACCGATTCTTATGAATTTTTTTATGCATATTCAGTAAGTCTGAGAATCGGTTACTATATATCTTTCAAACCCCTATTTTTATGATACAGCATATTAAAATACATACAACCCTTAATTTTCACCCCTCTACAATCAACCCTTATTTTTTTATTATTGATAGTTATTTTTATTAAACTAAAAATTTTTTTCCTAGAAATAATATACATAGCAAAACAACGTTTGCCGGGTCAGCTAGTAGTTTTATATTACTTACAAGTATACAGTACAAATTACCCAGACAAACTGCGCTATTGGTTGGCACGCGCTTGTTGAAATAAATTACTAGACAGATAATTATGTTTTAAGTAGTCGAGATGAAAAATATGTACTTGAAACATTATGTACATACATTGTACATAGTTCAGTTGTTTGTTTATTTGTATGTAGTTTCATGTTAATCCTTTTTGAATTCTTATTTCGCTTATGTCCACATATTCACCTTCTTTGTCCTAATTTTGTAGCCGAAAAACAGTGTTTTAAAATATAACATGTACAACAACTAACTGACCCGGCGAACTTCGTACCGCCTAGCATTAAATGAATATCGTATTACATATTTGATGAACTTAATTTATGATTTCATGAAAGTAATACAATAAATATAAAATTAATGATATGTTGTATATTTAAGTAGCTTAATTTATTTTCTTTATTTAATATTAAACAAATTAAATTTTTGAACGCACGCAAATATATTTGACATTATATGTCAGTAATGAAAAAGGATGCGAATAATTCAGCGAGTTGATTTATTATAATCGATATTTAATTAAATGTCTAGAGTTTCAATTAACTCTCTGATTTAACTACTTTACTGCGACAGATATACCTTGTCGTTTCGAACTCTTTATTTAAGTACGTTCTTTAATTTGAGGCAAGAGTTTACCATACGGGATAAACAAAATAAAATAAAATAAAATATGTTTATTATGGAACATAAGATACATGTATCACTTATTCCACGTCATTAAATTTGAAGGCATCCCTACTCATCGGCAAAGAAGGCACACGGCCCTTACACCCTCGTGTAAGGGCCGTGGGTGAGGGCCGAGAGAAAAAGCTAGCGTAAAAAACTCTCGGTACTCTTTTAAAACAGCAAATCATCAAACAACACTTATTTAAAACAAATATCGCAAATTAATTAGAATTAAATGTTTGACAACGAAACCTCTGAACATTTGTATTGTGTTCTTTAAATTCATTAAAAACAATGAAAATCTGTCCAGCCGAGTAATAAGTGTTCGACTCGTTTTATATATTAAGATTTATATAGCATACATTAACACATAATTGTTACAGTTGTTGACTTGCCTGGCATTGTACGCGTGTAGCGTGCAGGCGATCATGGTTAAGTTCGGCACGAAGGGTGGTCCTATAGAACCTCCCACGCCGGAGCCACCAACCGCTTCGCCTCGGGTCTTCCATGCGCCTGCGCCAGTCTGGGAGGAACGGACTAATGACGCACCGGACCCTAACGCTCATTGGTATTATATTACACACATATGTATAGTAAATTCTATTATATATTCCTGATATTTACTTAGTAAAGTAAGCAATTACGTTTACGAAGAAAGTTGAGGTAGTGTTGGCATAGTAATTTCAGCGGGCAATTCTCATCCCTGAGATTTGATTCCCGGCTGCATTGGACTTCTATGTGCCCATTTAACACTCGCTCGTACGGTAAAGAAAAACATCGTGTGGCATGTCTTAGACCCAAAAAGTTGACGGTGTGTCAGGCACAGAAGGTTGATAACCTGCTTGCCTACTAGAAATGGTCACGGAACAGATACAGAAATCTGAGGCCCAGACCTAAAAGGTTGTAGCGCCCTTGGTATATGATCTTGAAGTATTTTTTATATGCTGGTATTCGATTTTCGAGATTTCAGCTACGTCTCGACTTAACATGGATTTATTTATTTATATAAATAATTGATTTGCAGGCGACCCTTCATTCCCAAACAGACCTACACTCAAGTTCTCTTTAACGCACCAACGACCCAGCAACCGATCAACAACGCCCAACGTTTTGTTAACTTGTATGCACCCAGCCAACCTAAAACAAATGAATACAACCCTTCTCAAGTACTTAGCTCTCAAGCTCTTCCCGGATTCGGTCTTCGGTACTTTGTGCCCACCTATGATTGGCAGAAGAAAGACTACAGGCAAGAAGACGCAAGAAACAATCAGGTGGAAACAAACCACGTGGAAAACTCGAGAGATTCATCAAGCGATCTATTGTGGAAATATGAAAAGGATGCCGTGAGAAGAACTCTTAGAAATACTTTGGAGGTATGTTATCATAATATTTTTTACAGGAATAATTCGGTTCAAAGATAGTTACTTACTCAAAGAATACCATTCACTTAGTGAGAAAAAATTATTGAAGGTTAGTTGTGTACATCGTATTATCAAATTATTTGAAAATAAGTTAAAAAAATAAAATTCTAGTTACTAACAATACGTACATTATTTTTTTGAATATTTCCTTACAAATCCGATCCGATTATTTCCTAACAAATAATAAATAATGTATAAAAAATATTGAGAGATGTTTATGGTATATGAAGAATAATATTTATTTCCAACACACAAATATACATTATTTACAATATTCTTAACCTACATAGTAATAATAATTAAAAATTAATCAATAGTTAATTAAAACAAATTTAAAACGTTTGGTCCCTATAGTCTGGTCAATTTAGACATCCAAGGTTACAATAATTCGCACTTGGCTGAATATTGGTAGGATTGCTCAATACACTATTATAAAGGAAATGTGAAAAGTCCTCATCGATCCGGCACGTGCAAAAAACTTTACTCCGGGTCAAAGATCACAAAAATGGGTTTTTCGCGATTTTCAGCAAAATGGTAAGTTTTACCATTTTGAAAAGTAGTGTAGACAAAAATTGTAGATCAGATAATTATCTATAAAAAATGTCCAAGTACTTTTTTCCTAAGAGCCACCGTTTTTGAGATATAACGATTCAAAAAGTTGAAAGAGTTGTAATCGTCATAGTATGCACACGTTTCCACGCCACCTTTGAGGTAGTGTACTTAGCGCTTTTTTTTTAATGTGGTTTCCCCGGTAGGCCTATTCCACTGATCTTTTATGATTCTGTTTAATTTGAAACTATTGAATAACTGTAGATATTGACAAGGGTTGAAAATGATGAAAGGGGTGTAAATTACAAAAAATAAGAAAATTTATCCGTCTGAATCTAAATCATCATTAACTTCTGCTTTATCTTGTTCTTGTTCTTCTTCTCCTCCTTCTCCTTCTTCTCCTTCTTCTTCTTCTTCTTTATCTTCTTCATTCTGGGTGTTAATAAATTGTCCCAATAATGACACACAAAAACACACAAAAAACACGTGTTTTCACTCCAGAGCGATGTTGCTGAAGGTTACACTGGCGTAGAAAATAAAGGACTGGGTTTTTTTTGCCCGAAATTTTCATATTTTATATGTGTAAGTCACACTGACCGATAGAACGATATTTTTGCTTGTATTACGGCTTCAGTGATGTATATACGTGGTGTACTTATACATATTATGACGATTACAACTCTTTCAACTTTTTGAATCGTGATATTTCAAAAACGGTGGCTCTTAGGAAAAAAAGTATTCAGACATTTTTTATAGATAATTATCTGATCTACAATTTTTGTCTCCACTAATTTTATGATAAAACTTACCATTTTGCTGAAAATCGCGAAAAACCCATTTTTGTGATCTTTGACCCGGAGTAAATTTTTTTGCACGTGCCGGATCGATGAGGACTTTTCACATTTCCTTTATAATAGTGTATTGAGCAATCCTACCAATATTCAACCAAGTGCGAATTACTGTAACCTTACCCCTATTTTTTAGTCTAATTTGACCGGATTACTATGCCAGTGTACCTTTGACATTGGCAGAATTTCCTCGCTGTATTGCAATACTCATAACTTATTGTTACAAATGTTTCTATCTGTTCTTCTAAAATTTTCTTTTACATAACAATATAATATGTGGCTTCCAACGCGACCGTCATTATAAACCGATTACCAAAAGTTAAACCGTTTCTCACAAAAACGATTCATATAGGAAATTAACTATTTCCTTAGAATTTTCAGCAAATAATTAGCCTTAAAGGTAATAAATTATTGTTTCTTTTAGTCCACAGTTCCAGTGTTCCAGTGGCAATGGCCGGCGTATGTACAACCTCGACATTAATAGTACCTTAAACTTTTAAGCTTAAACGCATCGCATTATCCTCGCATTCCGTCATTTTGAAACAGGATAAAACATATGCTTTCACATATAGTTGTATATATATTTTTTAATTTTAGACGATTGAGAAATGTTTATTAAATACATAATATACATTGTTACGTTGTATAACATTCGAGTACAAAACAAAAAAATATCACTTCAATAAGATTCATTTGTCATGCAACAAGGTGTTAACATAGCTGTTAGAACAATAGATAACATCACCAAAACGAGTATAATACTTTTCTAAACTCATTGAAGACCCTGGCAAGAAATAAGTTTTCTAGAAATTAAATTAATCGTGTTGTATGGTGTAATAAATAAACAAATGTTACACAATTAATTAAGAACTGCGACATAAAAATGTATAAAATCAGTAATCAATTAAATTTCGCAGTTTTCGAGCCGAAAAATACATTCCTTTTAGATATTCGTGTTGCAATACGAATATTATGTGAAAGTTGTTTATGGAATGAGATATGAAAAATAGAATTTTAAGTACTGTGATGATGTAGATTATTTAGCGTAAAATAAAAGTGCCAGATAATAAAATAATAATTAACTAAATTTTAAATATATCCAAGCATTTTCGTCATAAACAGAAAAACTAATTCGTAAGCAAAAATCTTTTGAAATAGAAATTGTATGTTTAATGCAGAATTTATTTGTTTATTGCTTTTGTTATGTATAATGGTCACATGTGAAAGACACAAATAAGATGGGAAGGGCTTTAGGACCTGTGATACAGATTAAAATTTATAAAGTTATGATCATACATGTTTTTTACTTGGGGTACGCATGCGTTGCCTACATTATTCTTCTTTTTTTATCTGTTCGGTGAGTACATGTCTATTACGAATATGTTAATATTACTTACGATAAATCAATTAGTTGTGTTGTTAATTTCATACCTATTTTAGTAGCCGGGAAATTCAAGCAATTTATTATTTTGGCATTGAATAAACTGACAACAAAAAATATTTTGAAAGTTATATTACAAAAACATAATTAAAATTATTTAAAAATTCTAGGCATTTTAATTATGTAATATCTTACATGCTGTGATAGTAATGATGTTCCGTAATAGCCATAGACAATTTCTTAAATTGACGAAAAAAATGTCATTACCGAAATGATGTATTGTTGAGTTTGATCACCAACCGTATCAAATTCTAGTATAATGTTCTCGTTTAAAATACATTTGTAAAAGTTATTCAATGTTTAAGTTAATTCCCTTAGTTATTGTTATATTTACGATAGATTTATGGAATGTTTATTATTTAAGATATTGTAAATATGTATAATAAATTTTTATGTCTTATAAAACATTTTTTTATTTTTTATAATTACCTAATACCAATACAAAAGTATAAATATAATATAACACAATTACTGTAAAGTATTTGACAGGACGGAGAAAATTTCATTATTTTTAAAGTTTTTTTTATATTCATCACGTGATAGACTCATAGTCTCCATAACTATATAGTACCTAAGACACTATACACTGTTATAAAAGGAGCGCTGGACAGAAACCGGTGGAAACAGATTGTCCGCTCTAGATGTTTCTGACCACGACGCTAAGACATGAGCTATCCACTGAAGTGAGAGATCATTTTAAATGATCTAAGAGAGATCTAAGAGACTCAAAACTTACCTAACTCTTAAGTCCGCACTTCAAGTTGTATCTTCATTGATGTTCTAGAAAACGGATCTAAGTGGTCACTCTAAAAGTGAATTAATTATCTTCAATATAAATATATTTGGATCCTGATATATCATAGTACTATGAACCAATTTACAGAATCGTGCAATTATTTTATGCCTATAAATTATTAATTAACGATTCCTAATAACCAATTACACTATTTGGCGCGAGCCGAAGCAGAAAGGTCAAGTGAGCACAAGTATAGAACATAAATTACTACATACAGAAGTGATAAATTATTTCAAATAACTGGTCATTATATATAATTATTAAATCTATTAACGATTTGCAGGTAAGAAGTATTTAGAATTATTCCCGGATTCGGTTTCCCACGCTCGCTATTTTATTAGATAACCAAGTTTATAGCTTAACTGATGATAAAAAAAAGTTATCAGTTTGACCAGTATGTACTGTTGGAATTGGAATATATTTGAATATGATAATATATTAAGGCGTCCAATTGGATGTGCTAAATTTCGTGTCTGTCTGATTTTTTTTTTGAAGTGAAACTTCTTTAATAAACGTCACGAAGATGTGCAGCGTTTTTGTCGAAGAAAAGGGAGAGCGATTGAGACCGGTTGAGTGAGAAGGGTGAATTACCTTTTAGAAATTCTATTTTTAAAATTAAAATTTCGTAAAGAGAATTCATGAAATAAATGATTTATTGACATCTTAAATTACGAATTGTAAATTAAAATGCCACGTATTTTTATTATCGAATAAATAAATTAAAAAAATAATGTTATAATTTGACAATTAAATTCCTAACATATCATCCTTTTTCCCTACCTCTTAGTTAAGGAAAGCTAAAGTTTTAGAATTGCATAAATATGAAAAAGAGTTAAAAATAAGTTTGCCAAAGAAGTTTCACTTCTGACATGTGTACTTTGTACGCACGTTCTTTTTTATTTATCAGGCAGATCTGTGGCCGAGAAGGTGCAGCAGGGGAGTGTCAAAGTGTCAAATCTCCCCTGTTAGGACAGGAAAAGGGACTTTATTTACTTAAAAGGCATAGCGTCTCCCGACGGGCCCTTTATAGTTGGAGCCCACTGGCCTCTTGTGCCATTTATCTTTCTGAGATATTAGACAATTTTATGGCAGAATTAAGTGTGTCTGAGGATTGAGTCTTAATTTCTCAAAGCTAAAAGTCATATCTTGATTTTCCTTGGATTTAAGGGAACATTTCGGTTTTAGAGATATAGGTAAAAAATTTCTGAACAAAATTGTATACAGATACAAATTTCTCTTTCTACGTAGACACAATACCGACAATTATATGGTTCCTTGATCCATATAATAGGAAGACACGTCTTCATGTCACATGGACTTTAGTTAAAACAATAGGTATTTATTTTATATTGCGTCGCACATACCATACAGATTTTAATATTATATGCAAAAATGTAATTAAACTGAATCATAATTACAATTTGAATTACTTTGTTTAACTAGCTGCATATTTCACACCATATAAATTAATTAAGGAAATAATAATAATATCTTTACTACTTTTTGAGGTACATATATATTTTTATAGGTTACGTAGAGATTACTACACGATTTGCCCATGCCATGACCAGTCCAACCTTGGGTTTTGTTAAGCTAAGAGAGATATAACAGTACAGTGTCAAACTAAAGTGACTTGGTCTGGGTTCTTTTGTTTATTGACCACAACGTAAAGACACGGTTGTCACAATATGAAGGCTCTTGTCATTTCTTGTAATTAACAACTTCCGACACAAATAACGATTCCAGCGAATGGTAATTGCGCATATAGAAGGTACACAGCCGGGGATCGAACCTACGACCTGGATGAGAATCGCACGCTTAAGCCGCAACTTATATCAGATGTATTTAACTGAACAAAACATGTAACAGTATCCTGACTGTTCGTTTATTGTAAACTTTTACAATATCTACAAAAACTTTACAAACAAAATTCTGGTGTATGCCATCTCTCATATGCTGCAAAGCGAACTTAAACGCTTGAGGTCTCAAAGATAATTAATGCACCTCAAGGTATATAAATCTTCCAACCGGAAACAATTACTGTTATGTCGAATAGAATCCACACAGCATGACATGGTTTGCGGCTGTGCATATGCGCTGGCACGCTGTAACATAGCGACTGCGTTTTCGACTTCATAAAAAGTTTTGTGCGTGAGTTTCGTGCGATCCCAAAGTCAAACTCTAGACATTTTGAGAATTACGTAGATTTTTCGATTACTTACAACGTACTCATTTATTTAAATGCTGATTATAGATAATGAAATAACTTCTCCGCACTTATAGTTGCGCACACGTCCTTGTTGGTTGTAAATATTGATTGCAAGATTTAAAAGTATCATTTTCATTATTAAATAAATACAGAATAATTTGAAAGTCACGCAACTTATGATAAAAATCGTTTTGTATTGTTTTGTTGAAATCGCGTGTATTGAAGAGATCCCACGAATTATCACGCTTTTTAATTGGTAATCTATATGATGACCTGCTAGTAATTAGATAATTTATGTTGCCAATTATAAATAAATTAATATATTACAGGCCAAACTAGGTTTGAAAATAAATTACTAGCTTATGTGTTTATTTGTGCAAATATTTAATTTAAGAATTATAAGATCTATAAAAACATTGTTGAATTGATTTCGATGCTTCTAAGTTTTTACTATACATATTTGAGAAGTACCTACTAGATTAGTAGGAAATCACTGTTCACTTTCATATATTCACTTTCGTATAATAGACAGTTATAAATATTTTTACCTTAAAATATATGCCGCATATATTTTAAGTACTTTAATACAAAGAGTCCCCTCGTGAGTTGTGTGCTGCGATATTGCGGGCTACTCGATTGTGAGGAAGTTGCAGAGATCTGGTTAGCGCTGCGCCTTTTTAAGTTCTCATGTCATTTTCACACGTGTATATCCTTTTTGTGCATATTCATAAGTATTGTCCTCCTTGTAAAATTGGTGATGTTTGACAGCAAAACCTTAAATTTAAGAACATTATTGATAATACTAATATTAGTATTAAAATCAGTGGCGCTACAACCTCTTTTAGGTTTGGGCCTCAAATTTCTGAATCTGTTTCATGATCATTTTTCAATCTAATAGGCCAGTAGGTGATCAGCCTCCTGTGCCTGACACACGCCGTCGACTTTTTGGATCTAAGACATGTCGGTTTCCTCACGGTGTTTTCCTTCACCGTTCGAGCGAATGTTAGATGTACATAGAAATAAATTCCATTGGTG